TAGCTGTGGACATTTATTCCTTGTGTGACCTTCCATTTTGCAATTTCCACATTTTCATGGCTTTTTTTTTCCTTCAGTTTTAGGCCCAACTTTGCCCTTTACTTTCACTCTAGGAAGATCATGAACATGTTCTGTCAAATTAGAAATTCCGTCTGTATTGACTTTGCACATCTGTTCATATCGTCTTGTTAAACTAGCTATTTCACTCCTCACTTTGGTAAATGTCTCAGCGAATTGAGAAGCAACATGACGTAACCTATTACAGTGAGAGCTTAGAGAAGCATACCGTAGCATCCTCTGGTACTTAGGATCAACATTATCGTCTACAATTGTAGGGGCATCATCTTTGACATTTTTTGTCTATCTTTTCATTATGAGAGTCAAAAGGATCTTATTTAATTGCTCTAAAATCATCACATGAATGATAGATGGACATGGTATTCCATTTGTTTCAAATTTAAGACATGAGCATTTTATATTTTCATCATCTACAAGAAACTCCACACGTATTCGCTCAGAAAGACCTCCATACTTCATCAAATAGTACACCCATATAGATGGCTCATCATCGATGCGACATTTATGAAAATACAATTGTTGTAGATGCATCTCATCTATAAACTTTTTGAATGTTCTTCTTGTATAAACACTTGCAGCATGCTTTTCAATATCTTTGAAAATTTGGCTTGAAACTAGCTCTATATGGATGGATATGTAATCTTCACCAATCTCATTATTTCGAATATTCTTAATTCCATCTTCAAGTGCTCTAACAAACTCCCATAACGTCTTCCTCTCTTTTGCAAGAGAAGCTATAAAAGAATTCAAACCTTCGCAACGTGATGTACTCGTAATTGTTCCAAAAAAATGGCCACTCAAGTGTGATTGGGCCCACATATGCTTCTTTTTATACATCTCATCTATCCATTGATGTCCTTGTAATGCAAACTTTTTTACCATCTCTTTCCATTCTCTTTCAAACTTATCAATCGTCCACCAAGATTTCATGCAAGCTTTAAAATGCTGAATGAATCCAGGTAGTGGTATGTTTTCTTGGGCATTACGAGCAAGATGCCAAGAGCATAGCCTGCATCGTACTCCAGCGAACACCATTTTTAATGCCTTTTCATAGCTCAATCCCCATCTGTAACCACAGATATTGGCTTTTTGTTCATCATACATTCTAAAAATATGGTCAAAGCCCAAATATAGCTTTCAGCATCTTCATTTGTCAATAATGCTAATGCAAAAATGGTGGTCATATGATGATGGTTCACACCAATGAAAACCAAAAGAGGCTAATTGAATGTGTTTTTCTTATAAGTTGTGTCAAATGCCAAAACATCACCGAAACAAGCATAATCTGATCTTGATATAGAATCAGCCCAAAATAAATTCTTCAATTTGTTATTATCATAAGTTGTGTTCTTCATGTAGAATCCATTATCTATTTTTCTTTTCACTTCAAAATATAACAGAGTCGCTTGAACATCGCCATCATTTACTTTAGCATGTCTTTCGACTGCCATACGATTATAAAAATCTTTACGAGTAAAACCAACATTTTGAATGCCCCTTGCTTAAGCTGCAAAAACATTCATCACTTGACATGTTTTGATACCTGCAACTTTCATAGCTTTTGCTTCACAGACATCGGCTACTTTAATATGGTTATTCCAACGAATGAAACATATTTGAGCTGGATTTACCATCTGATGATTATGTTCAAGTTCACAATGTGAAACATACCATTTTCCTGTGTCTTTGTTTAGAATAA